ATGCCATATAACATCATGCTCAGCAACAAAATGTGTGGGTAGTCTTTCCAAGGTAGCTGTTGTTTTGAGACTGTCTGGAAATCGATCTGCTGGTGGGAGATGGTGAGTGACTGCCTTTGCTTCACTCGTTTTTTTTCTTTCCTTCACTTATTAAACTGTCTTTATCTCGACCCACAAGTTTTCTCGCTTTTGCCCTTCTGGATTCTTTCCCCCATCCCACTGTGTGGTGGAGTGAGCAAGCGGCTGGTGGGTGCTCAGTTGCTGACCAGGGTCAACCCACCACAGTCCCTTCAACTAGCTTTTTTTTTAATATAAAATGATATTTTGAAATAAATTGCAAACCCATTTTCTCTTCTGACAGGTTCAACATTTCTCTCTATTGTTTTGCAAACCCAAATCATTCATTGGATTCAATTTGCACTCAGGATTCCCCCCCTCCAATAAAGGCAAGTCTGAACAGTGTAGTCATTGAGAAAAATCATCCAGTTGTAGGAGTTAAGGAGCAGTGAGGACCTTATACCACAAGGGGACTGTTTGGATCAGGATAAATCCTGACTGCTGACTCCACAGGTCACAAGAGAGTCTGCCAGAAGTAGCTACAAATTAAATTTAATACATATGTGTTAGAAAACAATGATGGGGATTTGGTTAACATCAGAAAAGCATTCTTCTTTTGCTTCCTTGTAGTAGGATCAAGAGTAATACATAGAGCTTTGAGAGCCACCCTTCTCTCCCCAGCCTTGTGTGTGAGAGCAAAGGCTGGCCACAATGACAAGGACATGGTGGCAAACTGGCACAGCTGCCTGACATGGACCTCTGAACAACAACCATCACATCATTTGCATACCTTATTATCCCTTTACCCATTTCTTGGCCCTTCTTTTCGCCACCCCCGTCTCCTCCCAAGTAATGATTTTTTTTCCCCTGTTGGTCACAGTTTTGCTTCATCCATACCCAAATTTGGTATTTCTTATACCATTACCTAGGTCATCTTGGCCATACATGGTATTACTGATGCAGTTACCTAGGCACTGCTAGCCTTGGAAGACTCTGCTCCTCAAAAGGTCCCCATCACTGCCCTTTAGTTAGCTGTGAAGCTTGGCCATCTCTCACATCACTCTGAAATCCAGCCATCCCTCACAGCACTGTCCGTAACTTCTGTCAGCTTCTCACTGTTATCTGTCACATCCAGTAATTTCTCATGTCATGTCTGGTAGTTTCTCATGATCTGTTCAGTTAGTTAAACATCATTCAGTGGCCTGCAGCCTTAACACCTCCTAGGTAGAACGGTTTGGAGATGAGTGGGGTAAGGAAAATGTGAGACTTAAAGGCCTCCAGTTTTGTATTCTGAGGTCCTCCAGTCTGAGTTCTTGAGTACTGTAGCTGTTAAGGGATGTTAAGCGGCTACTTTCTCCAGCAGCTCCAGTCCAGGCCCCTCCTGCCCAGATGCTGGAGCCCAGCCTGGTGCACTCAGGGACTCGGGGTCTCTGCCCAAGGTGAGGGACATGACTGCTGCTTTCTCATTTGCAGGTTCAATCAGTAGCGAAGCAGAGACACACACACAAATGCAGACACTAACATGGCTGGCTACAAAGACTGCCACAGACAAGGCACTGCCTTCAGCAGCGCCTACATATAGGACTCACATAAAGCACAAACACAGTCCCCTTCCTCCTCTTTGTCTAGCAGGGACAGAGGTCACTAGTGAAGGCACACACATGACACTCTAGATTCGCACACACATGACACTCTAGATTCACACACACATTTGTGGATCACCTGAGTATTGGCATGGCCCCTCTGTCCATCCAGTACCACTGCCCAGATCCCAGGCCCTTTGACCTGCTTCACAGGTCCCCTACTTGCTGGCTGGTCCAGCTTGATGCTCGCTAGCAAATACACAGCACTTACACACCTGTCTGACAGGCACCTCACACTTGCAAGTTCCCCCAGATACCAGCACAGACCCTCTGCCCACCTGATACCCCTGCCCAGATCCCAGGCCCCCCTGCTTACCGGCTAGTCCAGTTTGAAGTTTGCTAACTGTCGTGGTTTAGCCCCAGCCAGCAATTAAGCACCACGCAGCCGCTCGCTCACTCCCCCTCCCCCAGTGGGATGGGGGAGAGAATCGGGAAAAACTTGTGGGTTGACATAAAAACAGTTTAATAGGACAGCAAGAGAGAAGGAAACAACAATGATAACAATAATACCGACAAAGGAATGTACAAGAACAAGTGATGCCCAATACAGCAATTGCTCACCACCCAGTGATCGATAGCCCGTCCCCGAGCAGCGATTTCCGCCCCCCGACCAACTCCAGTTTATGTACTGGGCATGACGTCGTATGGTAGGGAATATCTCTTTTGGTCAGCCTGGGTCAGCTGTCCTGGCTGTGTCCCCTCCCAGCTTCCTGTGCACCCCCAGCCTTCTTGCTAGCAGGCCAGCACGAGAAGTTGGACTGTCCTTGACTGCTTAGCAACAACCCAAAACATCAGCACTTTATCAACAGTTTCTCATCCCAAATCCAAAACACAGTCTCACACTAGCTTCTGTGAAGAAAATCAACTCTATCCTGGCTGAAACCAGGACACTAACGAATGACATGCACATCCCCAATGCGCACAGTTTGGGGAAGATACAGACACTCGGATCCCCCAGCAGATGGCACCAGGCACACAGGCTGTGACCCGTAGTCCCACTTTAGCTGATGGCGCTGAGCCCCTTAACTCATGTGGTAACTGCTTTTTGGGACACACACTGTTCCCACCACAGTGGCTGGCCACTTGCTCCTGTAGCTGGCACCACAGGCCGCAGGGCACCTACACCCCTGGTCTGACTCCAGTTGCTGGCACCCACTCCACTCACACATACACAGAGGTCTCACCAGGAGCTGGTGCTTACTCCTTGCAGCACACATACACATGGGATAGAGAGTGAGATTATGCAGGGAGATAGTTAAGAAATGACTTAATAAAAAGATAGGACAGACTGTGGTGATCAGGCACAGGGCTCAGCCAGAAAAGCGTACTGACCAGACCCATTTTATAGGCAACTGGCCCCTTTTATACTCCTTTCTGTCTACCCCCTCCTTGTCCCTCCCCAATTCCATTCCCCTGCACATTGCCTCATCAGTTGGCATAGTCCCACTGGCCCCCTCCAACATCCTGGACCTTCAGGTTTGCATTCTTATCAGTTGCAAAGTCCTGGTTTGCCTGTCGTTTCTTGATAGCCCAGTGTGACTGACCAGGTTTGTTCTCATTGCCACCTGTCATTTGTCGGTCAGGTTTGTCTTTGTATGTTCTTGTTTACTTTTTCTTTTTATCAGATACCCTCAAAGGAGCAGACACTCTCCTTCCTTCCTATCCTTAAAGTAGATATAATTGTAGAGGACTGTTATTTATTTCTTTTTTAAAAGATATTTCTCTGATCATTTTGGAAAAGCAGAGATAAGAAGAACAGATGTAATTTTTGAATGGAAAGAATTTTGAAAGTTTAGCTTGTTTTACCAACTATACTGGTCACTTATGGTTGTGCACTTCCTTCCATGTGGACAATCAAAACAGGCTAATATAACTTCCTTCTCTCCTTGCCTTCATTAAGACAAGAATTATTGTTTTAAATTGAATGGGAATATCAAGAGTGACTCCTATCTGTCTTATAGCCTATATAAACTGTTTACTAGTTGCCTAGTCTTGCACAAATACAAAAGTGAGTTTTTAGTCATAGTCATCAACTGATAGAAAAAAAATCCCCTTTTGTCCAAAAAGGCACAAGCTGGTGAGATAGCTAAGTTGCAGGATGACAACTAGACAAACATTAAAGGTGAAAGTTTTCATACCCATCAATATTATATCTAAATATGGTTTGTTTTATATAAAACTGGGCTTAAAGCCCAGTGTTGGTATCCATTCAAAGAATTTTCAAGCCAACAAAAAAGGACATTTAATAGAGGGAATCAGAACTGAAACGCTACCACGCCCTGGAAATAAGTCACTAAAATGTGAATAGAGCGAGCGTTGCGACAAGGCTCCTCCCCGTGCATGCTGGGAACTATAGTCCGCGAATAGTCTAGGGACCATTCATAGTTTTGCGCACGGCCCAGGACGCGGCTGAGGGCCAGTGTGTTTTGGGAGTTGCAGTTTTGGGTGGACCGCAGTGTTTGCCGGGAACTGTAGTCTAGTGAGGTAATTACAGCATGACCGACTTGTAGCCTGTTACTGGGTCTCCTCCCTTTGATTCCCCACCCCCCGAATAACTAAGAGGGTGGGGTTTCCGGGGGTTCAAAATTCCCCGGATGTGGACATTAGTTTGGAATTTTCCAGAAAGGTTGTGAGTTGTAAGTTCTAGATTTTGTGTAGTGCGGTTTGATTATTTCCTTTCATGAGGGGGTTGGTGTGTCCGTATGTTGGGATTAATCGCTTAGTGTTCTTGTAGGTGTGTCGCCATGGTGAAGGAGACCCTGTATTATGATGTGCTGGGGGTGAAGCCCAGTGCCTCTGCTGAGGAGCTGAAGAAGGCGTACCGTAAGCTGGCCTTAAAATATCACCCTGATAAGAACCCCAATGAGGGTGAGAAGGTTAGTGTTGAGGGAGTGGGAGCTGGATCGAAGCTGCTGAGGGGTTGGGGGGGGAGTCACCCCTGATTTTTGTCTAGGAGTTGACTGGAGTGAGGGGCTTGGATGTGGAGATTTTCTAACTCTTTCAGATATTGTTGCTGCTTTTGGAGGGGAGAGGTTTGGTTTGGGGGGACCCTATTGTCTGTGGGGAGGGAAGTGTTCTCTTGCCAGGGGCCTGGTTGGAGTGGGGAGGGGTCTAACGGTAAATTGAGGGACCTTGTGGGGGAGGTTGGTAGGAGTGAGAGCCCCTGGTGGAGAGAGGAGTTCTGTCTAGACTTGATGGGGGGGACACTTGAGGGAGGATTGTCAGGTTGTGGGTGGGGGGAATGGACTCCTGGGGGAGCTGCTGCTTAAGGATTGGGGTCTGAGGCTTAATGTGCATTTTTCACAGTTCAAACAGATTTCCCAAGCCTATGAGATACTGTCTGACCAGAAGAAGAGAGATCTGTATGATAAAGGTGGTGAGAAGGCCATCAAAGAGGGTGGCTCCGGTAGTAGTTTTGGGTCACCCATGGACATATTTGACTTGTTCTTTGGAGGTGGTGGGAGGATGCAAAGGGAGAGACGAGGTAATGTTCCTACTTTTGATGCTGCCCTAGACTTAACAGTATGACTATTGTACGTGAAAGAGTGCTGAAGTTTGCCTTGGGTGAATAGTGTGGCTTGCAAGACTGCATCAAGGCTATTAAAATGATCTTATAGCTGTATTCTGGAAACCATATAAAACTGTTGTTAGCCTTT